GCTGCTCGTGTGGCTGTGCACGGAGAGAACGAGTCCCTTCCTCGGGCAGTTGGAGCAGAACTCCTCGATGGTACCACACAGCTAAATAAATAGGTTTCAGCAAGGGAGAGGTGAGGAACAGAGGCAGCAGGAGAGCCTGGCACACACACAGGGAGAGGCAGAGCTGTCCCACTGGGTTTCTGGTTCACCAGCCACTTGGCTTTGTCTTCGACATGAGGTTGGTGCCGGAGCCTGTGTTTGGGTGGAAGGAGGAAGCACAGTAAGTGTTTAAAGGATTATTTCATCTCTAGCTGATGATAATTCCTTATGCAGATGGCTGCAGTTGTGCTGCATGATATCATTAGCACAGCAGCTGGACCCCACTGCTGGAAAGCCAAGAGGAGAGTTTTTAATTAGGTTGACTTCAATGCTGGTTTCATAAAATACGATGAAAGTGAACTACAGCTCGGCTCATCCTGGGTTTGTGCCAGCTCCTGGTGGGGTAAAACCTGCTGCATGGCTCCAGTCCATCAGCAGCAGAGCAGAGGAGGGGAGTCAGTCTGAGGGCAAGTCTGGAGGGGAAGAGAAGTGACAGGGCATGTATGGAAACCACTCCTGGACCCCAGAAAGAGTCACCAATGAGCCCTTCCGTTCCTTCCTAAATACTTTATTGCAGGAAACATGGGTTGTACTTGAGGCAAATTTGAGACTTTGAGGGTGCATTTATTATTTTTATCATTATTTTGATAGTATTTAAAATTATTTTGGCTTGACTCATCAGTTTCTCATAGCAGTGTCCTGTTGCCCCTTGTTTCATCCGTGTAAGCACCAGAAATCCCCCAAGCTCTTTCTCCCAAATACCCTGCTTTTGGCCAGGAATTCCTGCCTAGGCAGGGCTGTTTTTTCTGCCATGCTCATTGCCTTCCCCAGCTGATTAATGAATTCAGATTATATTCACAGGGGAGATGTGAGAGTTGGAGTCCCCTGTGTGCACTGCAGCCTGACGATCAGGATATGGGGCACCTCTATTCAGCTCCTTCTGGTGCCAGGGAAATTGAGGTCAGGCTTTACAGAAAAGACATGATGGCCCAGACAAAAACAAACCGAATTTTTAGTGTGGAGAACATTATTCTTCTGTGTTTTTCCTCTTGAGGCCTGACACAGAAAAATCGAAGAGAAACTTTATATACAAAGTTTTCTCTCAGCATAAATGACAAAAGTATTTTTACAGAACTTTTTTTTAAAAAGCACTACTAATTGATTTCCTGACTTCAAAGGCTTCTCATAACAAGCAGGAACTTGAAATGAGCTGTGTTTCAAAATTTCTAGTGTTAGGTAATCCAATTCTTATATGCTCTCAGCGTTATTCCCTCATAACAGAGCATGTAGGTGAATGCTATGTGCATTTTCCAGGGGTTTGCCCCCGTCTGCTTTTCTCTAGCAAACAGAACTGGTATTTAATTTCTTCCGTATTTGCTTTCTAGAACTGGTTAAATTTTGTTTCTAAGCCTTTCAAAATAGTGTTTCATTTTGTTTGCAGCTCAGCAGGGTTAAGTCCTGTTTCCAGCTTATTGGTTGCTTGGGACTAGATGATCTGTAAGGTCCATTCCAACCCCTAAATTCTGTGATTCTGTGATTCATCCACAGTCTTATACTATTTTTTTATTAACACTCTCAGGCACATGGTGTGATTCTTGGGGCTGTCCTGTGCAGGGCTAGGAACTGGACTTCCATGATCTTTGTGGATCCTTTTCAACTGAGGATATTCTAGGATTCTAGGACTTTCTAGCAACTTTTGTTTCTGATATCATAGGTGCCAGGTGAAAATGCCAAGCATCAACATGGCATGGAGCTCTCATGTTTAGGTCTCATCACCTGAATACAAAACGTCTGGGGTGTTTTGTCGTTATTTTGGACTTTGGAATTGTTTTTCATAGTTGATCCAGTCAAAATTTCTCTAAAATCAGAGACATTTCCTTGTGGAAGGAGTAGAACTTGTTTGATGAATGAAATGGGAAGGGTTGGGGGGGGGTTTGCTTGGGTTTTTATGGGAAGGTAAGTTTCCCCGTTATCCTGCATGTTCTTGGAATGCTTTATAAAACTTAATATCTATCTGTGGGCAACTCTTACTAGTATTGTGGGTGCCACGTAAATTCAGTGCCAGTGCAAAGCATAAAGGTGATCTAAAACCTTGTGCTGGCCTCTCTTTAGGGCACATCTTGCCTTAATTTCCATGGCACGTCTTGTAGTATGTTCCTTTGTGAAGGAATTCTGTAGTAATATCAATTTGCTTAATGTTGTGGTGTAGAAGGACAAATGTCGCTGCTCTCTGAATAGGCTGTTAACGTCAGGAAAGAATGGTCTTTATATCTTAGTGCAGTAATAAAGCCATGAGTGCTGTTTATATCTTCTCCTCCAGCAATTCTGCTGTTACCAAGACTGAGCCAGTTCTGTCATAATGGCAGAAGAGCCTGACAGCAGCATTTCACTTCTACCAAAATCCATGCTTTCTGAGACAGTTTCACATCTTGTTTCATAAAGAAGCAACAAAAATACCACTGCGGCGAGTCGAGCAAAGCTCTGCAGAAATTCGTACTCTACATAAAGGATTTGATTAGGAGGATGTTGTGAAATAAGCAGTTAAAGAAGATTAAAGTCCTGCACTATGTGGAGCACACCGAATTTGAATGCTGTTTTGCTTGGAATAGCTGGAAAGCCTTGTACACTCCCTTTGCTTTCGTGGTGCATCCCAAACCTCAGCCTGTTATTTACAGCCCAAGTCCTGCAGGGCAGTGGTTTATTTTATTTTATTTTGTTTTAATGCATGTTTGTACTACTTTGAACAAGGGCCTCAATCCTGTTGAGGTCTTGGAATGAAAACAGTGCGTAGCTAGGGATGATTTCTTGTTCAGATCCTGCTTTTAGTTCATGCTGACCTACATTTGTACTCTGGTGACATCCTAGAGCGACGCCAGTGTTTATTGTGATGTATTCACCAAAAATGTGTTCCATTCCCCTTTTAGGGTAAAATGGACATATTAGGTTAATGCTGGAGGTTTATGGCACTCTTGGAGTGGCCTTAACAGGAGTCCCATCAGTGTCAAAGTGATGTGTGTGTCAAGTGGGCACCAGCTTGGCTGGTGAATGAAGCCTAATTAATGACCCCTCAGCCAGGCTGAAATCAAGCCCAACTCAGTGGGGATTAAGGAGAAAAATAAACTGTCCTGAAGTGCTGCCACGTTATTAGCATTCATTTAGCAGAAAACCACATTAGAATATTATTTTAATTGACGTATCTTAGTGAACTTCCACAGTCTTAAAAGAGAAGCTGTGTAGCTGTCATTCCTTTGACAGTCTCTGGAAATACATGGTGCCACTAAGGAACTGCTTTGGGAAATGTGTCCAATTTCCTTAAATCCTTTTTGTCCTCTACACCCATAAATAATAATTCTTGCAGTCTCTGTGCAGACATACAATTTCCCGTGAAACAAAGGAAAACATTTTTTTCCGTTCTTCATCCATTCATAGCTTCTCACTAAAACTAATAATTGATTGTCTGTATTGCTTTCATGAACAGTGTTAATGAATGTAGCTGGGCAAAATGGGAGTTATTTTGAAAAACACGTCAGGATTGGAATGAAGAAGATGTGTGGAAATGGCTCTGAAATCATTTAAGGCTGAGCAAAGCATTCATTATTGTTTGACTGTTTTTCTTTGTGACTGCATAATTAAAAAAATGACAACAGGCAGAATGCTGCATTGCTTCAGTAGGAAACTCAGGGGCATTTTGCTCCTCAGTGAGAGCTCCAAGCAGCAGGCTTAGCACAGCTTGAACTGTGAGCTGAAGAGAGATGTCCCAGGTCTCCAGTACCTCCACAGGGACACACACACATGGACAGAGGTGACCATGTTACATTCAGGTCAGCAGCACTACAGTGCCAGCAGGAGCAAACCATATTCAGGACTTGTAAAATATTTGAATAATCAACCTAATGAGCTGGAAATCAGCAAGGACCATCGTCTTAATGCTTTCCTGCTTAAATATTTTCTGTTTTTCTGATATGCACTCTTATCTTTTTCTACTTTGTCCAATAGGCTTGTTATATCCTAAGTCAAGAGCCTTCTGTTAATCATTTTAGGATTCCTTTCAATAAACAGATCTTTAATGACAATGAAAAGCTGCTTGGATGAACAGTTTTAGCATATAAATCTCTACAAAATTTCCTTTTCATCGACGAGTTAGAGCTACACTTGGAAAAATCTGGTTTAAATAATCCGTTGGGAGCTTCCAGTGATCTTTTTTAAGGAAGATTTTTCAACTGTAAATATTTGTAGAGATCTCTAACTGCTTTTTTTTTTTTACCTTTGCCATAATTTATTTCATATTAAGTTCTCAGTGATTCATCTCTCATTATAAACTTGGAATTATGAGGTCAAAGCTGAATGTATTGACTGCTTGGGGCAAATAAAGGAGCAGCATTGGTGGGCTATGGAGGATAAGCCATTTTCCTCTGGGAAAAATGGTAAAAATAGCTCATGGGAAACAAAACTTAAGGTCAGCATGTAATTGCTGAAGAATCAGTCAATTTGCAGGAAATTTACTGCAAAAGAGCTCTGCCACAATTGTGTGAACTCTTTATTGTAGTAGAAAATGGGAGTAATAAAGTGCTTGATGTGCAGTTTTCCTCTTGTTTGGAATATTTATCACAGTATGGTAATATCCATCTCTTAAACTAAGTGATAGTTCAGAAGAGATGCTCTAGAGGCTATTGCAAATACATATTCTGTCTTTTCATGAGACTTGCCTTGAACCCTGTTCTGTTCCCTTAATCTAGTTCATCTATTGGAAATGCCACTTTGGTTTGTACATCCTTTAATCATTGCTTAGTCCACTTGTATGATTTTAATGCCTTTTTTTTTTTTTATTACTTGTAGTAATACTAGATTATACTAAAGCTTACTAAGCCTCAGTTTTAAAAGTACGTTTGAAGTTCACTGAGTTTTCTGTTTGTTCCCACAGGATTATGTTCAGAAGCTGAACCCGTAACCGATGTGTCACACAGTGAATCAGTTCAAGAAAGCCCTTTCCGTCCCCCTTGCCATTCTTTTTCCACTGTCTTCGATGAGGACAAGCCCATAGCCAGCAGTGGGACTTACAACTTGGACTTTGATAACATTGAGTTGGTTGATTCTCTCCATGCCTTAGGACCGAGCTCTGCAGAACCCAAGAATCGTGACCCCAAAGCAAATGTTCGAAGAAAATCTACTGATTCAGTCCCAGTTTCCAAATCTACATTGTCTCGATCTCTTAGCTTGCAAGCTAGTGATTTTGATGGAGCATCTTACCTTGGCAACAGTGAGACACTAGCACCATCAGCAGATGCGTACGGTACTGGTTCAAGCAGTGCTTCCAGTACCCTTAAGAGAACAAAAAAATCCAGACCAGCTTCCTTGAAAAAGAAGCAGTCATCAAAAAAACCTCTGGATGCTCCACTGGTGAAGGAAACACCACAAGAACCATCTGACCTTGGCCAAGCAGCTTGTGCCCCAGGTGAGGATAAAGCAGCATCTGAAGCGAAGGCTGACGCAGTAAAGCCTGAATGTACTGAACCTTCCAAAATCTCTGCTGAGAAAGAGGAGGCCCCACCTGTGCCTGAAGGATCCAACCCTTTGGATCCAGAGCATTTTGAAGGGATTAGTGCATTTAGCACAGGAGGCAGCAAAGTACAAAACTCTCCCCCTGCCAATAAGAAAACTCTACCTCTTACAACGGCACCAGAGGCTGTGGAGGTGACTCCGCCTGACACTGGAGGACAAGAAGACCCTCCAGTCAAAGGCATTGCAGTGAGGCTGGAGTTTGACTATTCTGAAGAAAAAGGGGTGAGTGAAGACCAGGAGAGCACTCCTCCTCCCAAAAAAGCAGGTAAAAAGCCTGGTGCTAAAATGCCACTACGGAGGCCAAAGACTAAAAAATCGGTGGAAAAGCTTGACAATGCTCCAACCACCCCGACCAAGTCACCCCCTGATCCAAATGAAATCCCTATCACAAAAGGCTCTTACACTTTTGATATTGACAAGTGGGATGATCCCAATTTTAACCCCTTCTCATCCAGTACAAAAATACAAGATTCGCCCAAACTGCCTCAACAGACATACAACTTTGAGCCAGAAATGTGTGAGGACTCCATTGACCCTTTCAAGTCATCTTCTAAGATAGCCAGTTCGCCCTCTAAATCTCCAGCTTCCTTTGAGATACCAGCCAGTGCCAGTGAAACAAATGGAACAGAAGGAGACAACCTGAATAAACCTGCAAAAAAGAAGAAGACACCACTAAAAACGTAAGTTAAAGGGCAGAGTTGTTTCTAGAATAGAAGCAGCACTTTCCTACCCCTTAGCACAGTTACACATGATTTAGATTTGAATAGAGCAAGGAAGATGGTGTTGGGTGTTGGTAGCCACAACTGAACTCATGCTCTACTCTCCTTCAACCTGTTCCCTCAATAGTTTGATGTTTCCCGACCAAAGGGAAGAACCAGAGCTGCCAAGTAGACTAGGCAGCTGAATTTTGAAAGTCTTTGGGCTCAATGCAGTTTTCAACCTGATTAAATTCTAATTGTATCAATTTTGTGCCAAATTTTCTGTACCTTCATCTTGAGAAGCTGATGCTGTTTGAGATGATGAAATAATCACATCAGTAATGACTATTTTATGAATCACTGTTTTGGAGAGTGGGATGTGAAATAGTAAGGCAGTGACCAATCTCGTATTGCACACAGTAAAAAGATGGTTTTATCCAGTGACTTACAGTATTTCATAGAAAATAACCTGAAACAGAAGAGTGCACTATTGAAATATGTGTTTTTTACATACAAGTCTGAAAAATGTGAATTATTTCCTTTTTATAAAAGAGCTTACAAATGTGCAGAAGGGTTTAAATCTCTAAAACTGCTACACATTAGGAAAATATTCATCTATTAGAACAGTTGACAAATTCCAGGGTAAATCTTCAATCTTGCTGTGTTTAGATATTTGGTTAAAAACCACAGTGGCTGTTTGCACTGATTCACTTGCTGATGTGCATGTTGCTTTATCTGTTCAGACATGGTTATTCTGAGTTGGTAATCACTAAGTTTATATCCCATTTCTCTGGAATTGATATCCTGTGTGTATCTAGAAGAAAGTATCTCAGTTCATGTTCCTTTAAGGTTTAAATGTTTCAGCTAGCTAACAAAAATGTGAGTAAAAGTTTGAAACAGCAATTTGAAGAGAACATGATTAATGCAAAACAGTACTGAAGGTGGTTTGAGTGAGATTGAGGTTATCCATTTTTTTATGAGCAGCCTCCTGCCCTCTAGGCTTCTAATTCACATCCCTTTGCCAGATTTGAGGAAGCTTGAGCCATTATTTTCTTTTTAGGGGCATTTCTGAGTTATGAATAGTATAGAGCACTGTATAGTTGAGTTGGGTTTTTTTGAGGGAGGAGCCTGTTTTTTCTGATGTTGCTTCTTTTTGAGGTATACCTGAAATTTAGGGGAAATTCAGGTGGGAATTGATAAGCATGCTAAGCTGACACATTTTCCAAACCTGCAGTCCAAACCAAGAAAACTTAATAAAATCTGATAACAAGGGAGGAACAGTATGATTCCTACTGGGGAAATGCAAAGGGACAGAAGGGAATTTTAATATCACCAGATCCTTAAGTTTGTTCTTTGCAGCCAGCCAGAGTCTCCTTGTGTCTTCCAGTAGCTGGAGCTGACTGACTCCCAGTGTAAGCCTCTTGAGTTCACCCATCTGCTTTGAATATTGGAATGAATTCCAAAGCTGTTAATTTCAGGGCAAAATGAGTTTGCAAAGAGTTTGCTAAACCTCATTTGTACTTGGGAAAATTCATCGTGGGAAGGCTCTGTCCTGTAGTCACAAAGTTCACTGCTGGTCTTTATCATGGTGAAGAAGTGAAGCTTCCCCAGCACAAGGCTTGCAAGTTCTTGGATCAGGAGAGCTGCAGGAATTCCCAGCACTTGCCTGGGACTGTTTTCACTGCATTGTGTTATGTGTCTGCTCACTGCAGCTCCGTAACCTACTTTTGCAAGTGTTTTTCTGCAAAGAAGAGACTGCATATTAATACACACTGCAGCCTGCAGCCATGGCACTTTCTGGAAGAAAAATAGCCTAAGGCTTGTTGGGGGATGCCAGGGAAAGCAGTGACTTTATTTGTCTCTGCCCCTCTGGTTCCTCTTCTCCATGAAAAAGGCCCTCAACATGATTCCCTCTTGGGATCCAGTGCAGGATAACCTCTGGTGAGGCAGGAGATGGGATGTAGGACCCTCCTTGGCAATACTCTGTGGTGGGACAGGAGGCAGAAGACAGTGCCAAATGCTTCAGCTCCAAGGGGCAAAAAGGAGGGTGTTGAATTGGGAAGTGATCCTGTAATATACCAGGACTTCAAAAACCTGATTAATGAATGATTTTGCAGAGTCAAGAATTTTTATTAGCATTGTTGAGGGATGGAGTAATCAAACACTATGGACCAGTTTGAAAACGTGTTCCTCATGTGGAAAGGCAGTGATTTCTAGATTTGACCTATGGGAGGTGAAGAAGCCAGGCATGAGTTTAAGCCATTGCTAAGCTTGTACTACTTTGAATCTGAGCCATGTGCTCAGTCTTACCTGTGCTAAATCAACAAAAATAATTCATTTTATTCTTGAATGAAACCTGCAGCAGTCTAAGCACTGACCTCCCTGTGAAAAGATGAAGTTTTTAGAAGAGATTCACCATCCCTGGGGGTTTTCAGGATGAGACTGGATGTGGCACTTGGTGCCATGGTCTAGTAACCACAGTAGGGTTGGACTCGATGATCTTTGAGGTCTCTTCCAACCTGATTGATTCTATGATTCAACACAAATTATTCTCTGGTTATCTACTGGAGTGCTGAGCTACTTTGTGATAGATCAGATCATACTGCTCAGGTGATGCTGAGCAAAGAGCAGCTGATGCCTCTCCAGTGCCAGTGTATAGTGATGGGTAAAAATAGGTGGTTTGTATAGACATTGCTTGTGTAGGCATTGCTGTGGAAGCTGTTGGATGGTTGGAAGCTGTTCAGAAACAGGAGGTGCCAGCTTGCATGAGCACTGCACATGAGAAGAGACGAGCGGAAGCTGCCAAGCTTATAAGTAGATAAAACCTTTCCTTAACCTAAACTGTTTGGCAAGGTTTGGTTCTGGTTTGGGGGAAATCACTTTGTTCTGTCAAAACACCAAGTTCGGTTTCAATAAAAGCCAAAATAGATGAGATTTAAAGAAATGTCATTTTCTTTCCTGACCTGGGTAAAGGATCTGAAATGGTCAAGTAGCTTTTTTTGTACTGTCACAACCAATCAGCAAACGTGAAAAAACCTGGAATGACTGTGCTGTCTCCTTAAGCTTAGTTGCCGTTCAAGAACAGTTTTACATCCCATAGAATAGCAAATCCTGTGTTTTGAAAAGCAAGCAGGTGGTCTCCAGGAGGGAAGGCAAGGACAGTTAGTGTGTTGAAAGGAACGTAACTCGAAGGTGTCAGCTTTGAAAAATGTGTCATGTAAGATGAAAGTGTGTCGAAAGTATAATGCTGAACTTTGATAATATTGAAGGACTTGATGAATTTTTTTTTTCTCCCCATGTGTTTCACAATAACAAGTAGGGGTTAAGATTATACAGGTAGAAAATATGCATGATCAGATTGCCTTAACACATTAACATTAACAGTATTTGTAGGTTAATCTTTTTTGTCAGTTCCTTCTGTCTGTCTCTCTTTTCTTTGTCTTATTTGTCTTAGGATGGTAGAAGATGTGATGTCTGTATGTTCTCTGTTGTAAGTAATTCTAAGCTAACAATTCAAATTTCCTGTTTGATTATGGGCTTTTTTTTAATTTTACTTATTTATTTTGCAGCATGATCAGTTATTATTCAGCATGAAGCTTTTATGTTAATGATTTCACTTCACTGATACATATGAAAGCTATTTTAAGTAAGATGCCTGACTGTAATTGAGTTTGAGGAATGTGTTGCCTCATTATCTCTTTGCCTATCAGAGAAGATCCTCATTTAAATATTATATAGATTTTGTATCCTTGAGCTAAAGTATGAAAGTTGCATTTCTCCCATTGTACAATCAGTCCTTTGAAAATACTGCATAGAGTGTTTCTCCTTCTTAAAGGAAGAAGTTACCCTAATTGCTTCTAGCATTTATAACTGGATAATTAGTGGCATTGAACACACCAGTATTCAGCTGTCCAATTTATTTTCCCCTCTAGATGTGGTATTGATTTACCCTCTATGGGTTGAAACCCACCATTACAACTGCTAGTGTCAGTCTTGTCGTCATTGATCAGGGATGAGCTAGTGGGCATTCATTTTTGCCACTGCATCCCAGTTCAAACATAAAGTCTTTATCAGTGAGTTTGCTGTGGTATTTTTCTCCCTTTCCTAATTAGTACCATAAATGTGTTTGAATAACTTTGACAACATGCATCAAGAGAACAGATAGATAATTGGTTTATTCCCAGTTAGAAAATAATTTTTTTGAACCAATCGTGAATCAACATAAAGGCAACATCCATAATTATACACCATAATGTCATCATGTATGTTCTTCATTCCTTTTGCCTGATTGGAACCTGTGGGATTTTGAAGGGCTACAGTGTTTGTGCTCCCAGTCTGCACCGTGAGCTGGCAGGAAGCAGAATTGCCATATTTCTGGTATTTGTTTTAAAAAGGGTCTGTCGTGCCCGTTTGTAATGACAGAGCTTTACTCTGGCATCCTGGGAGCAGCGTCTGCCTCAGATGGTTTTATGCAGTTCATCTAAACCATATCAGTTTTCTTTCTTAATGATTTTTGGCGTCATTGGAGCTTACTGCCCAAGTTTATCACAGTTTTAACTTTCAGGTAAAGATGTGGGTTAGACCTCATTTTTGGATGGGAAACTGAAGCAGACAGAAGCTAAATAATTTCCTTGAGGCCACTGAGGGTTTCTGTGGCAGAGCAGGGGTTTGAATTGCAACTGAGCAGGAGCTCTGTTCTGTAAGTGTGTCAGGAACTAGCATGAAAAATATGGCAATCCTGCTGTTCTCAGCTTTTGGGGAATCGAGGCCTGTTCCAAGTGCATGACAAGAATATGTACCCATGGCATGTTTCACTGTGGTGCTGCTGCCTAATGGATGGGATTTTAATGCAGAAGGGCTTACAGAGGTTGCATCGTCTGTGGCTGTCTGTTGCTAAGTGTGAAATGACCTGATTGTTGCTGCTAGTACCGTATTAACTGGTTTCACTTTATTTTCAGTGATACATTTAGGGTGAAAAAATCACCAAAAAGATCCCCACTATCAGATCCTCCTTCTCAGGTAAAGTGCTGCCTTATTTCAATGTATGTAATTCGTGTTCTTGAAGGGACAAAAAAAGAATTGTGCATTTAATAATAGAAGAGAATTTTGTATGTTTAATAAAAGAAGAGATTTTGGCAAAGATTATATGCATATTAGTGTCCAAGTATAGCACATTGCACTATAACCATTAGGCATTAACCTTTTAGTCTCTAGAAATGTGTACACAACATATATTAGATCTAGTATTTGCTCTGGGAATTCCAGTTAGAGTATTAGTAAATGTACTTTGGAAAGTCCTAAAATACAATGGAGCAAGGATATGAATAAACCTCTTCTATCAGTTGTCTGAAAAACTACACATCACTATCCACCCTGGAACTTTTAGATTAGAAAGTAAGAAACCAAATGCTTCAAATTGGTGGGCTGGAAGGGAAATAGAAATAAACCAAGTGGGCTGATCTACCAGGAACATGTGCTTGGATGGTTTGATTCTATGTTGTAAACTGCCTGCAGGTGGTTTTCTTGGAAGAGAAGTTAACAAAAGCTGTTCTGCCTACAAAGCCCTGACTGCTTTGATGTGGCACAGCTCCTTCCATGCTGCTGTTCCTCTTCCTGTTATCCATCCTGCCCTTTTATTTGTGCTGCTTGACAACATAGAAGTGAAGAAAGGGGAAAGGGTTCATGACCTCGCAGACCTGCGAAGGTTTCTCTGATGAGGGAAGCCTAAAAACTCAGTGTTGGTAGTCAGAGACTTCAGTCATGGGTGATATGAGCCACTTGTGTCAAGTGCCTAATAGATTGAAATGGCTCTGGGTTTTCTTTCTTCCCTGTTATCAAGGCAGCTTTGCAACATGAGTGTTTATCATCAAAGAGTTTAGTTGTCCTGGGAAAACTTGCAGCTAGTAGGGTTAATATTTTTTTCATTAAGCATTTTACACAGAGCTGCAGCAAAGATTATGGAATTAGAAAGATGGCTCTGGTGGTGCAAAGGAATTCAGAGATTTAGCTATTCAATGTGTTAATGAAAGATTAGAGAATTAATTGGCACTTGTTTTCCGCAGGATCCCACTCCACTGCCAACTCCAGAAACACCTCCAGTCATCTCCACAGTGGTTCATGCCACAGATGAGGAGAAACTGGCATCTTCAGTGACAGGGCAGAAATGGACCTGCATGACTGTGGACCTGAACACGGACAAGCAGGATTACCCACAGCCCTCCGATCTGTCCACGTTTGTCAACGAGACCAAGTTCAGCTCTCCCACAGAGGGTATGTGTGAGAAGGGACTGTGCTCCAGCCAGTGTGGTACTTGCTGAGACAGGGGGGTTGGTTTGTTCGAGGGTGTTGGCCTGTACTTCGCTGAATGCAAACTGTGATTGGAGAACCCTAAAGAAAGATGCTGTCTGGACCATTCGGAGGAATGTGGCAGTTATGGGGAGCTGAATGTAAGACCTCTCTAGTCCAACCTTGGGTGTTCAAGAAAGAGAAAAGAAGAAGATTAAGGGAAATGAAAGGGACCTTCAAGAAAGGCTTTTGCTTCCTTTGTATGATTAATTGTAGACATTTCTCCATTCTGTGTGTGCTATCTGTTCTCTTGGTGCCTTCATGGGAGACTGAGGGCTGATTCTGCTCTCAGTGAGTGCTCTTGGATCCAGAGTCACTGAACTCCTGATTCTGCCTGAGCCTGTGCCTCTAACCTGGATGGTGGAAGGTCCCAGGTTAAAATTCTGCTCAAATATTGTGTATTGCATTGAGGTCCTTAACAGGCTCTCTCTCCTCCAGGTTCCTGGGATCCATGAAAATGTCCAGGATGTGCCCTGCATAAGATAATTACCATTCATGTACCACATAAAATTCCCTACTAGATCAGCTTATTAATGTTTTTCCTGTCATATCTTCCTATAAGCAGCTGTGAGCCAAAGCTGGAAGTTTCTGTTTAGAGAACTGTCATTCCAGGTCTGTGAAATGGGGAAGAGACAGAATGAAGAAAATTTGTGTGTGGCCTTCCTTGGGATTACGAGAGGGAATAGTGTTTTGCAACATCTGCTCCAAGGGCAGATTTTCAGCTTTGTGGGTGGGATGAATGTTTGAGTTAACTTGGCTTAAACTTTTTCTTCCTGATCAGAATTCATTTCCCCCCCCAGCCTTTCAGTCCATGTCCCAGTCAACCATTAAAACTTCCTTATGCCATTTTAGTCTGGGTCTGAGTTTTTGTCTAATTAAGAACTGCTTAGCTTTTAGGTTAAATTGTTTGATATCAAAAAGCATGAATAATCACAGTGCTTTTAACGGGGCTGCACATGTTCCTGTGCACGTGCTTGTATGTTTGTGTGCCATGGGCTTTTTGGAAATCTGTTGAGCCTTCTGGACAGATAAGTATTTCAGTCTGGATAAATCCATTTGGCTTGATTGTCAAATTATAAATTTTAGACACTTTATTTGTATTTTAAAAAATAACTCAGAGAATCACTCTTTAGAAAATCAGCCCCTCAAATCTGGGGAAGTGGAAACCACGTGGAAGGAAATGGAACAAAAGAATAGTGAGAGGTACTCTAAGGCAATCATTTTAGCTTTCAAAGTGGGTAGAAGAAAGTGAGCAAAGCTTCTAATTAAATGCTAATTGTCTTGTCTCATGTGTGCTGCATGGTATAGTCGGAGTTTCAGATTACATGCTCATTATAATCAACAATGCTTCCACTTTTCACATCTCTAAAAAATAATAATTCTTCCCCCTTGACAGTCTTGCTCCTGCAGCGTTGAGACATTTTTGAGTGGTTTGAGGGCTGTTTCTCAGTGCAGATATTTTTACCCCTCCCAGACACTACTATGAGTGTTACCCTGTAACCTAACACGGCTTTGGTACAGATACAGCCCAACTCCTGAGTCAGCCAGTGCATCCAGCTCTCATCTGCTTCATGCCCTGCTTATAACTGCTGCCATTTTCCTGTTGCACACACCAGAAATAAGCTGTCATTATTAGCAGAAAATTCTGATGTAATCTTGCAGCTATTTGTAGGAGGAGTTGGAGGACATCATTTAATAAGTCTGTCGCATCTATTTCTAAAAGAAAATTATCTTGCTTCGTGGAGTATCCTGGGCATTTGTAATTCTGAATGTGTAGAGATAACCAGACCTTAAGATTTTGGAGGGGAGATGATGTTTTAGAGCAGATACTTCAGAGAAAAGAGAGTAATTATGCTGGAAACTTCAGAGAGCAGTGAGACGAATCAGTGTTTAGTGAGCCCTGTTGTTCTTTTGTTTCTAGCTGAACTATTCCCGTCTGTGTCCTGCCTTTTTTTGAGCCAGTAAAGCTAAATATGCGTTGTCCCAGAAGTCTGTTTGGGTTGGGATTGCAGAGTGCTGCAGGCAGGTGGGGGATCAGTGCTGGCTGTGCCAGCAGAGGACAGTGCCGGAACGTCTCCTGCCCACGGTGTGCTTGGATTGCTCTCTGGGGCTGGAAAGCTGCTCCAGAAACATTCCTGGTGCACCTCGCTGGGCTCTGTGTAGGTAAAGGAAATACAGCAAGGCAGTCACTAAGCACTGGCTGCTGTTATCTAGGATTTCAGGCTTTCTCCTGCAATTCTGCATCTACTTTGAGTCTCATTTCAGTTCTGGTTTTGCTTTCACGAGGGAGAAGCTGGTATCCAATGCCAGGAGGTTGTCCCTCCTGCCTGTCTCCCTATTTCCATTAAAAACATGTGGTGCTAGGAATTTAAAAGTGAGGAGCCTTCTGTCACTTAGACATTTTGCTATTAGTATCCCCCACGTCAGGTACTGAGTGTTTGTGGCTGTTCCTCTTCAGTGGTTGACAAACCTAAATTGTGGAATTACAGTCCTTGTACTCTACAGTGATTTTTATGATAGGAAATTTTGTGCATTGTAAACTCACATAGGACCCTTTGAAACTTTTTTTAATCAAAAAAAGCAAGAGGTTATCTTTTACATTTTTTTAAAACATCACACATTTTAATGATAATTAGTCATCTTCCTAATGCAAGCACTACTTGCCAAAAGCTGCCCAGATCTAGAAGAAATTTAGCACCTGATTTTTATCATGGTGTAAATGCTACTGTGCATTCCTTAGAATTCATTTATAATGGAAATTAAACTATGCAAGTGGTTTATTGAGTTAGCTCGTTGAAACAGAGTGAAATTCAACATTAGGACAGATTAATTATGTTCTTAATTTTTAATTTAAGGTGCCATTGAACAAAGTCTTTGCTTTTGTTTGGGTGCAGGAAGGTATGCTCTCTTTTCTCTTGCCCAGTGTTAGATCTGTTTGGTTCTGTATTAGCTGTTGGGTGACTATGGATTGGAAAGAAATGCTGGTTATTCCCTCCAGTGTAATTGGGAGATTAGAGGTAGAGAAGCAGTAAAGATTTGCATTTTTATTAGAGTCTAGGTTTAGGGTTCTTTTTAAATCTTCCTGCCTTAGACTTTATCTGACACTAAACTGTGACAACAGCCCCAGGCTGGTGCTTCACCCCTAGTCAGTGAGTGTGCAGGTATTTCAGGGAGCTTTTTCTTAAGTGATACCACAGAAGTTGTGATAAACATTAAGAAATAGAAATTAATTCATTTCTCAACAGCTGCTGAAATCCTTTTTTTAAAGGGAACAGGTATCAGCATTGCCATTTATTAAAAAATATGTTTTCTTTCATAAGATAACATGATAGAGGAAAGTTATCTGCGCTCTGAAATTACTCTGAAACTTTCTTATATTCTGGCCCATGGGGTAAATTGATAAAGCTGATTTTTTTTCAGGCAAATTAGTTTGCCCAAAACTTGTCATAGGTTCATTGTTGAAAATCACTGACTGTCAATGCACCTTCTGCTTTCTCTCTGTATATTCTATTTTTAATATGTCATAGAAAGTATTGAGCAGAGTTGGAGTGGCCCTTGTAAATGAGAAGAGATCTCATTTACTTCTGCAAAAATCGTGTCATGGCATGTATTTAACACCTCTTTATCTGTTTCTGTTGCAGAATTGGAATATGGCAACTCATATGAAATAGAATATATGGAGAAAATAGGCTCCTCTGTGCCTGTAAGTTTTCAATTCCATTTCCATTCATTTGCATTCCCTTGTCATAATACACTATCCTGATAATGCCATCAGCCTCACTACCCCTCAAATTAATTATCATGTGCCTGCAGCAGATTTGCAACACTAGTTCCTTTAAATTGGCATAACTGGGGTAAATTGCATGTGCTTTGTTGTCCTATATCCTGTAAAGCTTGTTCCATTTTGCTGTTTGATTTATAAGCTAGCATCATAGTAGTTCCTTCTGGAGATGAAAAGCAAATCAGTGTTTTCGGCAGTGCAGAGATGTCTACACCAGCTACTGAACTATTTTAAGAGACTGAGAGTAAAACTTTACAGAAGTTGGAGGGAACCAGGAGAGGATACAGAATTGCTGTAAAGTATGGGGTGCACTACTTACTATATGTTATTAGTTGTTTCACTTTACTTCTTTTTAATTCATGGATTTGATAGCCTGACTAGATCCAATGAAGGCATATCCACTGAGGAAGTGGGAAAAATCAGGCATGTGTGTCAGGTGCTTAAACCAATGAGAATGTTCAATGAATATTTTAGTAACACTGCCTGCCAAGGGATGTCTCCTGACAGGACCTGGAATCTGATTAACACCGAAGTGGGAGAAGAAGATCCATCACAGAGTGAACTGTTTGGGTTTTGTTCTTGAATGGTTTCTTCCTGAAAGGGATCATCAGTTAGCATTACAGTCTCATGTTATTAGTTTTCTGTCAAGTCATTTGGTCACTTAAGGCTTCAGTGACCTGAATTAGCTCTAATGGAGAACGGTTGAATTGCTTAATGAGTTTCTCTTTTCCAGCAGGATGATAGCACCCAGAAGAAACAATCTTTATACCTAATGTTCGATGCCCAGCAGGAGAGCCCAGTCAAATCCCCTCCCATCAGATTGTCTGACTCCACGACACCATGCTCAGGGTATGGCACTGGGAGCTGTTCTGCTCTGGGAAAGGCAGTCAGGGAGATTGGTTCCCATCATGGCACGCACACAGGCAATTCTTCCTCTCTCTGCCTTTGTGTTGCTAAGTTGTTTGTTTAAAAATAGCTTCCATCTGTGTACACATATGATAGAGAGCAGAGGGCAAAGATACAGAACTTTTGTGCTGGGAGGGAATAAGGACGTGTATTTCTTTTTCCTGTTCTTAATAAATAGTCACAGTGGCAATTGTTTCACTAGACAGTGATTTTCTGCATACAGTGTTTTGCTCAGATACTGAGATCATTTTCATGTTAATCTGGAAATCTCTTAATTGCAGTTTTTCACTTGGCTTTTCCTGGATGCATTCTCTGAACAAGGGCTCTTGTTCATAAGAACAGGATGTGGGGGTTATGTTTACTTGCAATAATTTTTCTTGTTAAGGACATCTGTCCTTGTTAGCAAAAGTTGTTTGTTGGGAGAGATGTAGGTCACAATGAGAAAGGAGTAGAAAGGCAAGTGAGAAATATTTAAGGAATGTGCATAACATTTCTGATGGAACTGGTTTTATTGACATGTCTCTGGTGCTTTGCTTTGAAAGGATATTGCAAAGTGGTATGAGATACAATGATGTGAAATTGAGTTGTGTGTATATAGTCAGGCACTGGAATGTGCTGCCCAGGGAGGTGGTGGATTCACCATCCCTGGAGGTTTTCAAGCTGAGACTGGATGTGGCACTTAGTGCCATGGTCTAGTAACTACAGTAGGGTTGGACTCGATGATCTTTGAGGTCTCTTCCAACCTGGTTGATTCTATGATTCTGTGACTCTATATATATGTGTATAGACACACACACACACACACGCACACACACTGAAGTGATGGAGAGGATTTAGTTGTTACCAGGAGCAGAATTGTGAGGGTTTTGTGCTCCACCCTAAAAACATGTACACAATCTTTTTCCAGGTCAAGTTTTGAGGACCCTGAAGCCCAGCAATCCTCTGGAATGAAGATACAGCACCCAGCTTCCCGAGTCCTAGCTGCCAGCCAAGAGACACACTTACAGTCACCTGACAAGGCAAAGCAGAAAGACCTGGAGCCTATGACTCTGGGAACAACTCCAGAGGCTATTGAAATAGTAAGTAATTTATTATAAGAGTTTGGGAATCATCCTCCTGCAGATATTTTGCATGTCATATATGAGGTAGCAAAGGGTCTTGAAAGTAGAGTGAAACTCATCTGGATACTTAGAGAACTTGCTAGCAGCATGTGGTAGGACCCACATGAGGGAGGTTGATGGAGCTGATGGAATTCAGGAGAATGTTCTGAATTTCTTCCATATCTTAATGTGGTTTTGTGATAATTTATTCTGAGTTGGTACTTTGAAGTGCCTTTTCTCTCACACAGGCCTTTTTACACTGCGCTTTCACCCAATATTTGAAGAAATATTTTACATATAAAATGAGGGGTTTGATATAAATATAGAGATGAGATTTGTTCTCTTGCGTGTGCTGTGAAGTTTCAGATTTCTGTTGGTAAAGAACAGGAGTCCTTTCACATTTTCATATGAACGGTTAACTATACTGTTGTTTTCTGATACTGAAAATATAAAATTCACTTTTTTGATCATTAGAACTCATTCCAGCTTCCAGTTAAGTCCCTTTTGTCAGTGGCATCTCTGGGTTAGAGTTGAATTAGTGGTGAGCCCTTCCTTACTTGCAACCTGTGCTGCACGCAGAGTTTAGAGCATTGCTTCTCAAATTCATGAAGGTCTCCCCAAGGCCTTCTCTTTTCCAAGCAAACTTGTTTCAAAAATACTTACAGCACTAGGAATGCTGAACTGTATGACAGTACATTTACTGAGGAGTCAAAAAACCATCATATAATTTATATTAATAATCTTTTGATACCACATCAAAAACCACTTTAAGAGTTTGGATGCTTTTTTCTCTGCAGGGAGTCTTGAGGACTCAAATCCCAACTCTTCTTTGTGTCATTCTAATTGTCTGCCCAAATATTGTGTATTTACCTTGAAAATACTGTAATTGTGGACATAACTTATCCTCAGGAAGCAGGAAAATACCCTGTAAGGACTGCAGAAAACATCTAGCTGAGGTTTCCCCCAGTTTTTGGTGGTCTTCAGAGTTTTTGGAGTGCCTTAGAGACCCGAACTGAATATAAACTATTGTATAAATAAAAACTGTAGTAACTGTTTGAAAAATATTGTGGAAGTATTGAGAGTGGGTTGTGCTCCATGGTTTGTGAGACATTGCTTCAGAGGTCCTGATGTTGCTTCATGTTAGTCTTGGAAAATGTCCACGGCTTCTAAATTAGGAATAATTGTTCTTGAACAATTGGGTATAAATGGGTATAAACTGAAAGGGGGGAAGTTTAGGTTAGATATTAGGCAGTAGTTTTCCCTGTGAGGGTGGTGAGACACTGTCCCAGGTTGCCCAGGGAGGCTGTGGCTGCCCCAACCCTGGCAGTGTTCACAGCCAGGTTGGATGAGCCTTGAGCAACCTGCTCTGGTGGGAGGTGTCCCTGCCCAGGGCAGGGGTTGGGTCTGGATGATCTCTAAGGTCCATTCCAACCCTTTAACGTTCTATGATGTTTGTCTGTTACACCTATGAGTTGTGTATTCAAACATAATCTTCAGTAGAGCATGAAATTGCTAGAAATCAAAGATTTATGGACACGTGTGTTGCTTTTGGCCTGAACTAGTTGGGCAAAATCTCTGTTGCTTCTTCTATATCCTCCTTACTCTTTAGACATCTCCTGAGGACTCCTTTGTCTCTGCTGATGCTCTTCTCAATCGAATATCTAAGAAAACCTCACTATGTGATCAGCCTGAATATCTAGATCCGGACTTAGCAGAAAAGAACCCCCCAGTGTTTGCTCAGAAACTTCAGGTTTGTAGCAGAAATATAAATGTCACTTTTCCTTATGTTTCTCTATACAAAGATAGAGGAATTCTTTGCCTCATCTGAAAGGGGGTGGGAGAAGACTCAGAGGGGAAGTGGGAAAGAATTAAAATGACTATTTGATTCTTTCCAAAGTAACTTTGACCTTTCAAGAACTCAAGGAACGGAGATCTTTTTATTTGCCTCATATAATACATAAACTTAAATTTCATACACAGGTATCCTGTACAACTGCAGAACTCTTTATGAAGCAGAGTTTTTAAGCTTGAGCACTAGATTTTATGTATAGAGAGTTGTCTTGACACCTGCCCTTACTAAATCTGTAGGCACAGATTTAATTTTGGGGATTTAGGACCTGATTCTGCTGAAATGAAAATTAGGCTTTGTTTTTCAAGTAATCTGTCTAATGCAGAATTTGGCAGGACTTCTTCTAGGAAAAATGAATTGATTTTCAGTTCTGTATGTCAGGACATATTTTATAGTGTATTTATAGTGAAAGTTTAAACAGCAAAGGTTGAATTGAGAGAGGCATCTGGCATAAATTTACATGAAATGAAAGGAGTCTGTGAAAAACAGCATTAGCTTCAGAAAACATTTATTTTACCCAAAGCATTGTTCATACTTGTCACCTAATAAAAATTATTTGTCTCTACAACTACCTCAAAACTAACCAACACCTGGAGTTTTGTATCAATGTCATGAAAAGTTATGAAAAGAATTTGGGGTGTGTTTGTCACGCAGGAATTGTCACAATGATGTGTTAAAACGTAACATTCCATTTTTCAGTGTGTTAAGCATTTTTACTATGTTGTCAATACATTTTTTTCCCTGTGGATTGCTCACAACCAAACACTTGACAGGAGGAGTTAGAGTTTGCTGCCATGAGGATAGAAGCCCTGAAGTTAGCCAGGCAGATTGCCCTCTCCTCTTTCCGCTCCAAGGTACCTGGTTTGTGCCTGCCATGTGTGTGTGAGTGTGCACAGACTAAGGAGCCGAGTGCTGCTTTTCTTTAACCAGGTAACTGAGGCTCTCTGGGTGCAGTGCTGAGCTGGGCACACCTGGGTGTGACACCACAGGGCATGCTGAGAGCAGTGCTGCACACACAAACGCTGCCACCTGCTCCACTCACAGCCACATTAACAAAAGGCAGCTGTGAAGGCAAGAGTCAAGCACACACCTTGCTCAGAGAACAGATTCTGCAATCCAAGTGGCCGTTTGTCATTTCTCTACGGCAAGATGTGTCCCAAAATACTTGATGGCAAAGAATACCAAGACTGCTTTGGCTGTAGGGACATTTTGTCTTGTGTTGGTATTTTCAGCTTGAAGTCAGATACCTCTGACCCTCAAAGTTTAGAATTGAGAAGTTCAATCAACCTCACCCTCAGGCATCTGAAGAAAGGGACTGCAGCAAAGTTGGAAGGGCTATAGAGCTGCAGAGGGGAAAAAAGGTCTCCCAACACAATGTGCCTTTATTCATGAAGATCTAAATCTTCTATCTTGTTGCTACTTGCAGGTCATACTGGCTAGTTCTGCCTCAGAGTGATGCTTTGCTCTGCTCTAGGGATGCACGTGGAACTCACTGTGGAAGGGGGTAGGAAAGCCAAAAAGGTCAATCCAAAAGTGTTGGTGGCTTTCTTGAGAAATGGTATCAGCTGGATGGGATGCTGAGGGCTTGGCAGTGTCCTGATGCAGTGAGGACAATGTGCTTCTGGCATGTCCTTCCCCAGTGACCTTCCTGTTCTTCTACTGTCCATTAATAAGTCAGTGGAAAGTCTTTTGCTCAGTCCTATATCATCTGGAGTTCATTGCATCATAACAACATTTGGGCTAGTTATAGGGTAGAATTTCTTGGGGCTTTAAAGATCAGTTATTAAGTAGCTGTTTCATAAAAGTAGAGAATTATTTTTAAGGTATTATGAAAAAGACAATGATTATATTTGATTTATTTCACTAGCCCACAAGCCAGCTGTTTCCATGGTGCTCATAAATTGCTGAGGTAAACACATTCCTTGCAGATTTAGGGGTATTTTAGAATATGTAGCTATAATATTTTATTTAATTAAGAAAAATATGCTGTTATCTTCATTAGAAACCAAGCTTAACCTTCGAATTAGGCACAGAAAGAACAAAGGAGGAAAAAATTAGCATTTTCCTGTGTGAGTAGTAGCCTCTGTGTGACTGTGTCCCCTTGCCCTGAGTGTCAGAAGGGTGGGATTCTCTCCAGATCCTTTCTAACTCCTTATTCTCTCTCAACCTCCCTGTCCTCCCAGCACTTTGCTGTAACATGCAGCATTCAGGCTCTCCAGCACCAGGGAACACTTGAGATGAAACACAGAATAATTTAGAGATGCTCTTCGTGGGTGATACAAAAACCTTCTGGTAAAAACCTGCATTTTTGCTGCCATCCAGCAGTTCAGAAACTCACAAATTGTGAGGCTGAAGAGAAGGGTTTGTGTGTTTGTGAATACTTGTGTGTTACCCAGGGAAGATTCTGAGCTGCAAAAATCTTGTAGGGTGTATTTGATCATATGGAGTTACATTTTTAAAGGTGATTTTTAACATCATCACAGCATTTTCTTTACTCCAGAACAAGTTTTGGGCTCCTTAGAACTTCGAAAAAGGGAATGGATTTCATGTGATTTTTCAGAAATCACTGCTAATATGTATGACAAAGATAGCAAAAATGGTAAGAAGAGATGAAGAGAGAAAAATAGGCAAAGCTCCCCCCTCTGACAGAGAATCAGTAGCAGTTTGATGTTCACAAAGTCCCACGTTGGTCTAGTAGCCAAATACCCTGGGTGTCATGTCAGGCTGGGAAGGACTTTTGTCCTTGCATAACTTTGCTATTTCAGTGGGAGGTTGCTAGTGTTAAATTAGCCAACGACGACATCCCTTGTGACCTACAGTGACTGGTGGCCTGGATTAAATAGAACAGAATCCACCAGATGACTGCACTGACTTAAATTTGGATGCTAACTGGCAGAATTCCCTTCTGGTGGGCTGGCCCCTGTTCTTTTCTTAATGGTGTATAATTACATTTAGCATTTGTTAAACTGTTACAGTAACAGGAATAGGATGGTAAATAAAGACAGAAGCACTTGTTATGTCGAGTTAGGTCATCTAAAATGAAGATTAAATATAAGCATTCTGTGCTAGCTCTAGGAGTGAAAATAGGATGTGCAGTTTGTTGTTCTCAGGCACAGGCCACTCCCAAGTTTCTTGTCTCAGACTTCAGCAACAGCAGGACTAGTCACCTACTTTTTATTGCCAAAATATTTCTGTCTTGAGATGAATCAAGACTTCTCTATTGAGCAGTCTCCATTTGGGTGTCCTGTGGCCTTTTTTTTTATAGGTGCAGCTCAGATAGGATTTGTGTCCACTCCCCTGTGGATGCTGAGGTGATGTGAGTTGAGTGTCTAAGCAGGATCCAAGGAAAAAAGAGGAGCTGCAAGGAAAGGCATCAGCCCAAATGAGATTAGTGCATCACAGCTTTGGGGGGCTCCTGTGGGAGTGAAGGAGGAGTATTTCCTTCAAATAGGAAAACTTTACGGGCAGAAAACTTGTGCTTGGATTTTACTTGCCTTTCCATATATTTGCAAGCACAAGTAGATCTTGTTTTGCTTCCACTGACCTGTCAGCACACATATCAGTTAGTTAAAGGGTCGATCATTCAATATGCACCCAGGCAGTATTGCAGTGCATGGGAAGGGCAAGCTCATTTTTAGCAGGGCTAAATACATCTTCCTCTAAATGGTATGATAAAAACTAGTTTTCATTTTCATTCCATTTCTCTATTTTCTTTCCCTTTGACCTCCTGGAGCTGAGATAGCTGCAGCTGGTTAATGGATGTGCATTTATTCCCTCTCTTGTCAGATATCTGGTTTCTGTGGAAGGTGTAGAGAAGCAGCAGCATATTGGGCTCTCAAATATTTACACTAAGATTGCAGTGACCTACATTTAGCAGTAATTCCCCTGAAGACTCTAATCTTTCTGTGCAAGGTTTAGTGACTTACAAATCCCTACGCTGATTATTACGCCAATTAACTGCTTACCTTCTCAGCAATTAGGTGTTGGACTTAAAGTGTCATTATTGGGTTATTTTGGGTAATGCCCTCATCCTGTTGGTCAGGTTATATTGTTTTCTCAGGGTAGGGAGAATTTGGAGGCAGCAAATAAGTTCCTGAGTTATGCATCCATTAGGAGCTGTGTAAAATTGGCTTTTGAAGTAAAACCTTGAGGACTTTTGCTGGTTGCTCCTGCAGGAGAGCCCAGTTGTAACTCATGTGAAGTGTTTCCAGAGTTAGGGCAGTGCTGGTTGGACCACTACTGCAAGCATTTCTGCTCAGTGGTTAAATTCCAAGAGTTTTTGTAGTCATTTTTTGGAAATTTTAAGTTGTTTTGTGTGTCACCATTACTATTGTTTTGTGCAACGTACTCAAATGCAGATAGAACCAGAGAAAACATATCTAGTGAGGAGGTGTCCCTGACCAGGGCAGGGCAAGGTCCATTCCAACCCTTAATTTCTATGATTCTATATTTGTGAGGTGTTGACCACTATATAAAAATAACCTATATATATGTATTAAATACTTTTAATGTTTTTTCTGTAAAAATTTTCATCTCCTTGGCAGTTACTTTGACATGTTTTTTATATGAGCTTGAGGAAATTCATGTTTCTTTTGCCACAATTAATTTTTTCCAGCAATCTCTTGATGAGAGCCAGCAAATTGAGCTGCAGGAGGCTTTTGAAATGCGATACATGCAGTTCAACAGATCGATCTGAAGGATGGCCTTTCTTCTGAGGACAGCTTTGATGATTTAATAGCTCTTTTTTATCTCTCAGTTATTCTTGCCTCATGTTTGAGGAGGGTCAAAAGGACATTTTTTGCAGCTGAGATACTGAGCTGAGGCACCCGTTGTCTTATTTACTTCCTACTGTTTTGCCTTTGCTCAGATTTGTAGATAGCACCATGTGGGTTTGTATTTATGCACTTCCAGAGATGTCTGAGCTTGTGTCCCAGATATGTTTTTTTCCTGCATAGCTGTTGTCAATTGGGAGATACTTTCAAGAGCACAGGAGATGCAATTTTGATATATCTTGGGATGCTTTTTGCTCTGATAGGAAAATCCACTAGATCTCAGGTTGCACCTCCTAATTATGCTGGAATTGATTATTATTTTGGGTGTTCATGTTTCAGTGTAGCAAAACCAGAGAAGGAATGGCCTACTCCATAAATCCTAGAAGTTATAGTCAGTTTACTCCCCTGTTTAAAAACAGACAAAAAAGACAAAAGTAGTGAGTCTCACACAAATGAAGATGCAATGTGGTGTTCTGTGAGTACTCGTTAGCTTATTCTTGCTCTAATTAATTTTTATTGCCTAGTCTTTTAACGTTGCTAGTGTGGTTTCTTCATGTTGTCTACAGATGTGATAACCAGAACATTTGAATTAAAAAGTCTTGATTACTGCTCCTAATTATTGCAGCTAAAGCAATAAGATGATACATTAGTGAACTTAAAGTAACAGAATATATTATTTTATGCACTAAGCTAACTGGTAAAATACATCATCTTGTTTTCAGCAGCAAGGAAGTGCTGCAGCAGAAATGGATGTGAATATCCATTTCCATCAGTGGATGGAAAAAGGCATTGATCAACCTGACTTTCCTCCACATGGCCCAGTTAGGCCATGGTCCTTCCCTCTCTGTGGTCTCATGTGGATTGGTGGTGGGCTTGGCAGTGCCCAGAGGAGTTGTGGACTCCTCATCCCTGGAGGTATTCCAGGCCTGGTTGGATTGGGCTTGGAGCAGCCTGGTCTAGTGGAAGGTGTCCACTAGACAGGGGGTTGGAACTTGATGGTCTTTAAGGTCCCTTCCAACCTAACCCATTCTAGGATTCCGTGATCTATCTTCTTTAACCTCCCTGGTTTTAATGTGCTGTAGCTTGGGTCGTTTGTATCTAGTGTTGTTGGTGAGGCATCTCCTGCATCTCAGCATCATGTACCTCTTCACATGCTGCTCTCCTCCTATGCTAATCTGGGCTGTTGACATGAGCAAAATTGACAGCTGCAAAAAAAGCCTCATTTAACATACTAATCGCATGCTAAGCACGAGTGGGGCAGCAGCACCTCTTGGAGATTCACATTTCTTGTGGGATATTGTTTATGATAAATGCAGTGTATTGGCAGGTCAGACCTGGGAGAGTGAGCTCTCCTCTTGCTTCTGGTTTTTTGATTTATTCTTACAGAAGCAGAAATCCCCTTAATGAACTCTCTGCCTCCAATTCTAATTTCCTCTGCTGATGTGCATTTCGTGTGGATATTTTGATGGAATTCTGCATCAGAGAGTAGTAAATCTTCTAATATAGGAGTTTAAAATATTGATGGCAAAGTGCTATCCTTATTTTCTCTCTGTAAGGGTAATATGGCTCTCATGGTGCTTACTATGGATCTTAAATGTATATTTTATGGTTGCTGAATTCAAACTTCCTTGTCAGTGTTAATGCTGCTATAATTTAGAGGTGTACAGACTTCTATCCTTAGCTCAGGCCCTGGTGTCTAGCACTACACCCAGAAAATGTATGAGCTAAACACATATTTAATGGTTCATTTCTTTGTATTTAAAAACACAAACACACAGAGAGAACCTGCTATCCCAGCAGATGTTTCCATCTCTAAAAGTGCACTGTACTCCCGGATTGGCACCTCGGATGCAGAGAGCACCACAGCTCTTCTCTACCCCCAGCAAGACTTAGACTCTGCACTACGACTCGCCAGAGCAGAGGTAATTTTCTTCAGAATTGGGAAAATGTACCCCTTGTGGTTTCCTTCTTTCCTGTTTTCTCCCAAATGGTTTATATTATGGACACTTTGTTCTGTTCTTGAAACCATCCTCATACAGCAAAGGGTGCCACTTGTGTTCACAGAAGTGAAAAGCAGACATGATATGAAAATAGATCTTTATTTTTTTTGATCTCAACAGTACACTGTGCATCTTGGCATGACTGTATCGTATATAAGAATGGTATGGTGCTAGACATAGGAATAAAATCATGTATTTTACAAAGCTGCATATAATATATGTCTGGCTAATAATAACAACTGAAAAATGGGTGCAGTCTTGTCTTAGAGTGTGCCAAACTTGATGACAGATTGAATGGAAAGTACACAAAGGAACATAGTTCTCTGGATATGAAATGCCCTGGAGAGTCAACCCTAAAAGTGCACTCAGAAGCAGCAAAACTCCCTTGGAGGACAAACTGGGACACCATATACCAAACCTGTGTACAGAAGGATTTCAGGTTTGGCACCTGGTCGAGTCAGACATGGTGTAGTGTCTTGTAGTATTTCTTGAAAAGTCTCGTTATAATCAGGAATGAAACATGAAACAAGAGCGTTGTACCTGCTTTTCTAAGTTACCTTTTCAAAACTGGAGTGTGATTTCACACCCAAACGTTTTTTAGTTGCACCTTGCAGTCAGTCTGGAAAACCTCACTGAGGTTACTTATATTTGAACCCATTATGCACTTGAAAACTATCCCTCCTATTACCAATTAGGATTTTATATTAAATCAAATATTGTACAGTTACTTAATTTCCTCTTTAATGAATCTTATGGTTTCAATGATTTTTTTCCCCTTTGTTTTCTTTATTTCAGATTGTGGCCAAGGAAAGAGAAGTATCTGAGTGGAAAGAGAAATACGAAGAAAGCAGAAGGGAAGTGATGGAAATGAGGTGGGTCATTAACTTGTCACTGATCACAGTGACAAAGAGTCTCATTTCAGCCTGTGGGTAGTGCACATGGTCATACAATTGGTTTGGTTGAATTAATTTTTTTCATCATTTTTAACTTCAGGCTTTGGATTGATCCTAAACCCAGACTTTATCTGTGCTCTGTATGGTGAGCACCCTTGTTCAGGGTAATCATTGAAAACTTCTATGTTGCTAATCTCATTTCCATCCTCAGAATACTGAGGTAAGAGAGGTCTTGTTCTAGGTTAATGTAAGGAAAGGATTCCTCTGGCTTGTGCTGTGGATTCTCACAGGGATTGCATAGTGAGGTTCCTGTTGCAGACTGAGTCTGCCTGCAGAGCTGGCAGAGGGATGCACATGCCAGTGTAAAAGTCACTCTCTACAAACAGTTTTAACAACAGAATAAAGAATGTGCAGATAGCTATGAGTATGTCATGCTCCCTCCAGGACATCGTTGTAAATGGTTGTTTAACAATAGAAATCAAAACCCAGTGCCAGTAGAATAGCATTTCTTGCAAAGGAACCACTGTGGCCTCTGAGTGTTGCCTTTCAAGGAGATTCAACAGCCTTTTCTTTGAAATAAGCTGATTTTTCAATCACTGCACACACTAAGGTGATTTTAGTCAAGCAGTAATTGTCTTGGCTTTTGTTGTTCCCTTTGAGAGCTGAAGGACCCTGAGCTTTTCAGTTTGTTCTGGTTGTGTCACTGTTCTGTTCTAGTTCTCCTTGAAAACTTGCCTCTATTACATGAATTATCTATATTAAAACAACTGGTTTGACCTTCCTTCCCACCACTTGCAAGGATGATGACAAAGTCCCTGTAGTGGATGAGGTGAGCAGTGCTGCTCAAAGAATCACTGATGCTTCCCATTTAGCCAGCTGAAAGGTTCAACCTTTCTGTTTGGTTTTTTTTTTCCAGTTGGTAAAACCATAAGAATGGCATAGCAATGGGCTTGGCCTTCCCATTGATCTGAATCTGAGGAAGTCATCAATTGCTAAAGAGATTGTATAAAATATTTCAGGGACTTTTTAAAGCCTATTATTTTTTACCTTCAAAAAACCAGAAAAAATGTCCCCCCCCTTAACTCATAAATTAAAGGAAACTGCCAGATTATTTTAGCATCCTTCTTTTAAGTAATAATTTATACAGTCACTTCTGAGACTGAATTTTCCCCCAAATCCCTCTTGTTCTAGCACCAGCTTCTTCCCAAAATGAAACGTCTCAGTGATTTAAAGCTAAAGCCAACAGGCTGTAGCTAGTGATGACCTACATAAGCAACTGCTGCTTGTATCCAGGAAAACTGTACTTAGGGAGTGAGAGCAAAAGGCAACTGCAGCGCAGAGCTTGGCTAACGCTAGCAGGGATGCCAGGAGTCACACATGGCAGATTGGAATAGCAGCAGCACAGGGCTCTGAGCCAAAGCATCTTAAGAGAAGCATCTGCAAAAGGCAAGGGCAGACAATTTGTTTCTTTCAGAAAACCATCTCCCAGTGCCCAGCTGAGTTCTCTCACCTCTCTTGTGCCCTGTCGGGAAAGGAAACAAAACCCTGGCATAGCCCTCACATGCATAATGAGGAGAAACAGAAAGGAGCTGCTGCAAGGAGTCAGACCAAGGGAGCAAAACAAGGAATGGACAAAACTGGGAATTGTGTGAGGAATGTCTCAGCATGCAGCACACACTCAAGTGCAGCACTTGGTCTGTTCTCTACAAACTGTTGCCTGCCAGCAAGCACTGACAGAGGCTGTTTATTCCTTCATGGAAGGAGAGCAGAAGGTGACACAGAGCAGCAGGCACACTAGATCTGTACCTTCATCTACCTCACCGTGCTTTGCTTGTGTGTCTACACCCTCAATAAGATTTCATTTGAAAAAAACCCCCACATTGTCTAAGCCAAATTTCCCACAGGCACATGGCTGGAACACATGGATGAAAAGGAAAAAAAACCTGACTTAATATTGTCACAAAATGATAAATATGCATATGTGCACAAAGAAAGATTTCTCTTGGAAGATTAAATGTTGAAACAGCCCATGTGTGGTAAATTAGAGATGCAGCAATGAGATATGACATAATGATAGCCAAGGAGAGGAGGGATTATCTTGAGTTGCAAGCACAAAAGCATTGCTTTCCACAGAAGGAGAAACAATGCTCCTGTACCAAAGTCCTGCATCCTCTAGCTGGAATAACCTGAATTCATCTAAGTTTCCAGGAAAACATCAGTCTGGAGGAAATTCCACTCCAGAGAACAGAAGCCAAAATAAGAAGGTTTAATAACGCAGTGACTGTTCAAGAGCTAAACCAAGGTCAGCAATGCCATAATCCAATCCACAACCAAAGGCAAGAAACATCTGACTGGATATTTGGAGGTCTGACTGATTGTGCCTTAGTAAGAGAAGTCAAGCAGATGAGCCCTGAGATCTTTGGTGGTTTTATGACTTATGAAATTGCAGGAAGTCAACAAATAGATTGAGTGTCTAAAATAGCAAAATCGAAGCCTGTGCAGCATGTCAAGCTGGGGCTAGGATCTGCCCTCCCAAAAAGGGTTGATGTGGCACCATCCTTTGGTTCCCCTGCCCTAATCATCCTTATTTAGGCTGCTTGACTGAAAGAGGCCTTTGAATCTGGAGCAGATTCTTCACTGACTACCTTGCTTTCCAAACTGAATATTATTAAAGTCAATGTGCCATTGCAGCTTCCACTTGTACTGGACAGCTGCCACATGATTGGTAAGGCTGGATAGTGCAGAGAATGTGGTACCTGCTTGCACTGGTCTAAGCTGTTAAGAAGAAGAAATGTGATTTCACTTCCATGGTGCAGCCTAGGCTGGGAAGTGCTGTAGTGTTTAATGTCATGTTCCTTACCCCGAGTCCTTGGCTTCATTTTCTAGGATGATAAAACTTTCTAAAGGTGCTGGGTGTTACAAGGATGTGACAAGGCTTTAGAATCCTTACTGCTTTACAGCAGGCTTTTGAGGTAATCTTCTTTGGACATGAAACCAAACCCTTCCTTTTAGGGGAAAATCCATGCTGATGTCTTTGCTCTCCAAAGTGTCCATTATGGCTGAAAGGAAAAAACTAGTGTGCAAGGGTAGAGCTCTGCTGAGTGCTCTGCAGGTCCAGGGCAATGAGACACTACTGACCTCTGGTAGTTCTGGGCTTTGTCTGGGATTCAGGTTTGGAATAGGCCATACTGGAGTTACTGCATTAGTTTTTTGGGAGCTCTGCAAGTTTCTCCTTTCCTTACTGACTTTTGTCTCAGGATTTTCCCACATCCTCTCTGTAACCTCACCAACTGCAGCAGATCTCTAAAGTGGAGCAAGTGAAAGTGAGCTAAGACTTCAAAAGAGGTGTATTCAAGCACCACTGGGCTGTTTTGAATATCCACTTCAGATGAAGTGTGGGGTAATTTTGTTTTTTGTAGACAGTCCTACGTGGCTCATGAATCAAAGCAGAGATCAAGCTAGTCTCATTTCATTAGCTTTATTTGGCTCTGGGAAGGGATGGATCATCTTTCTAAATCACATTTAATCTGCTTATTTTGGCTAACCTCTTTTCAAGAAGGAAATTCAAAGCCTACTGTGAGTATATGAAGTAAAATAGTCTTAAAAGTAACATTTTGCCACCTCTGCTTCAAAAACAGATATGGGAAATGGGACAAGATGGATTTTGTGCTACATAGTTGAATAATTTGGTCTTATTCTTTTAAGTGCTGATGGATCATTTAGTCACATTTGGAGAGTGGAAGATGAGATATATTTTGGGTGAGGGCCAACTCTACTCCTCTTAGGTTTACTTACTACCAATTATAAGGTTACTTAATGTTTGTATTAAAAATAAGAAAACACAAATATGGAGAAGAGGGGAGAAAGTAATGGAAAAGTCAGGCTCTGTAACTCTTGAATCCTTGATTATGTTTATATTTGAGTCATGACTGGTGGTGTATTTTGGGCATGTTTCAAAAGGCAGAATTTGTTTCAAGGAGATCCCTTTTTCCTTCTCCCACCTGTATTGATTTCCATGGAGAATTAAAACTCAGGTGCAGTGTTAAAACTGTCAGATTTATTTGTTACTCAGGTAATAAAGAACATATAAAAGTGTGATGGGGTTCTGTATCTCTTAAAACACCACAATTCTGTAACTGGTAGTGTTATTGTCTAAGTAAACACGAGCAATTATGTTGTTTGCCAAAAGCTTTTTTTTTCCCTCCCCATACAGGAAAATAGTTTCGGAATATGAGAAGACGATTGCTCAGATGATAGGTAGGTGTTTCTACTCTAAAAGATACTCTCTGGTTGAAGTCTGTGGGCTTCATTTTGATGCTAGCAACGTCTACTGATGCTGCTGGGAATTGTGAATGCATCTGAGGGCACAGTGTCAGGAAAAGTTAGAGCTTCAGTTTGCAGCCAACAAGCCCTCGGGGCAGTTCAGGTAACACACTCAGGGCTTTCCCTTCTGCATCAGAGCAGACTTTCCCATAGGAGACATGTCCAAATGCTTTGCCTCGAATTCATGGGTATCTTCAGGAGAGACTTTCAGTGACCTAAAAACCCCTTAGGCATCCGCTCCCAGCTGTTTAATGGCAGATACCAAACTTAGCCCTTTGCAACAACAGGGATTATCTGTGCTAAGTGCATTGATCAGACCAAAACCTAGATTAACTCCAATCCCAGCTGGGAGGTTATGAGTGGCCAATCCACCTCCCCAGCTATTTACTTATGGAGGGGTTTTCCTTTAAGGTCTAAATTATAACATGTTCTGCCTCTCAGTGATTAAGAAACACCTTTCTTAACAGCAAGTCCCACACATTACGAGCTCTGTGTGCAGCAGCACTTCAGAAGCAAAGGTTGCTGGGCTCGTGGGAGGTCTGGCCCCTGGGATGTGATTTTAAAGCCTCCTCATAAGATTTCTAAAGCTCTTTTTATTGGTCTGGCTATAGAAAGCACCAGTGGCTTGTGCTGCCCTGTGCTGCTTCAGCTCGAGCTGTTTCCCAAAAGGCCAAATGGCTGAGTGGGATTGTGGGATCTGCAAGGCCAGAATTGCTGGGATGAGCACTGATGTGTGGTGCTTTTGCTCCCTTCCTGCATTTCTCAGCCTTTGGGAAGCACCTCAGCCTCCCTTCAAATGAAGGGAAAATTGAGGCTTTGACAAACTAAATAAATTTTGCAGTAACGACAACAATAATAAATTAAATAATTAATTAAATAGATAATAATCTATTTTTGAGAAACAGATTTCAAAAAAGAATAATCAAATTTTGAGACCACAGTGCAACAAGTAGATATAGAATAGGAGTCCTGAGGCAAAGGCATAGTACATTCTACCATTGCAGCTTAACTCTTGTGGCAAAGAAATTGTTAATTAAAACCCTGGGACATTGAGCACTGAGAAAACAAACCCTTTAAACTTCAAATTCAGAGTATTACAGCCTTTCAGATGCTCTGTGGCAAGTTTTTAAGAGCTGTGGCTATAAGTAATGCAATTTGCTGTCCATTCGAGGAGGAGCTGAACCACCAACAGCGACAAGGAAAGCATGTGTTAATTAGAGCAGTATGCAAATTGTGCAGCATGGTGTAAGACGTTAAATGCAAGGCTTCTCCCTGCGTTTAATGTGGAGTTTTGATCTAATTGTCCCACTTTCTCATGCCATTTCTCGTAAATTGCTGTCCCTTCTGATAAAGGCATTTGCTCATCCAAATGCCAGGTGTGGAGGAAAATCCTTGTCTGTGTGCTCTTTGCATGTACTTCACTGACCTCTTCCCATAACAATGCCTTAGTGCTAAAGCAAAAGAGGCATTTTAACAAAAGAAATGCTTGTGCTCTTTCCACTTACGATTTAACCCGTCTGAACTGTTTATGCAGCCCTGCTAGGAGGGCACTAGAGTGAACCAATTTCAGCAATGCCTTTGATGAATATTCAGTGAGGTTGGTAGGTCCTGCTGAGCTTTTTGTAGCTTGTCATGTGTGTGTAGAATGAATATTGAAAATATTCCATATTGACAATATATCGTCTTACGTTTGCCTATAAATGCATTGCAATATTTATTGCCTATAAATGCATTGCAAGCAGTAATTGCCTTTGATTTCAAGGGCTGTGGAAGGTTTAGTATTTGCTGTCATATACATACAGAACCCAGTATTACCTTACTTAGCTTATGTGATTAGTTTCATGCTATGCTCTGAACAGCCAGAGCTTGCAAGCTGTCAGTGTAGAGATCCCTCTTAGTGTCTCTTTGCATATTTTTTACAGATGCTTTAACTTTTTTTCTTGCACTTGCCTCAAGCCCTAACACATTTTAGTTCATACTGAGGAGTGGGGGACACAAAAGACCAGGCTTCCCATGCCAACCTGCTGCTTGTGCTGCTGCTTTGCTGCCTGGTGCCCAAGTTTTGCAGCTCACAACTGAGTGGCACTGACAGCCACATGGAGCAGAGCCTGTGTAACCCCCGTGTTCACTGCACCCCACCCTCCACTCACCTTGATGTGGAGCATCCACAGTCTCCAAAATCCCCATCCCAATGCCTTTTCATTGATGGATTTGTAATGTTGATGTTTTTTTCCTGTTGAAAATGTATTTTTATACCTTACCTTTATATACATTATGAAATTCTGCTTGTGAAAAACAAACAGATGTTATGCTTTGTGCATTACAGGTTGTTGCATTACTTATGTTCTGCTTCCCTAACAATTCCTGATTTTCTATTTTGCTTCCGTTTTCGTTGCTTCTTGCTATTTGCTTGCAAAAACAAAACAGGGAAGCCTGGTAAGTAAAGCTTTTCACCAACTTTCACACCAGCATTTTGCATTTTTAGTTCCTTTTGCTTTTGTTCTGTGTTTGCTGCATTGCCATTAAGTCGTGTGAGTAATACTGAGCTGAGCCTGAAAGCAGATTTGCTGCTCTGATTCTGTGAGTTTGGATAGTGTTAGTCCTGAGCATACTGTTGGTATTGTTGGTGGGACATGGACAGTGGGTGTTGCAGACATAGGAGTCATTTAATTAAAATATCTTAATCACATAACCTCATAAATATCTTCACAAATAAGTGTCTAACTGCTTAGCTAAGGTTTGAGTGGCACACTATTATCAGCACAGTTCCACTAAGCAGCTTCTTCATTGAAACTGTCACAGTTTTTAGAAAATAGAAGGTCCCTCCAACCCAGACCACTCTTATGATTCTGTGAAAATATCTCCAGTGCCTCTCCACCCATTTTCTGCAGTATCTAACCACTTTGGTTTGGGAGTTGGATGGGACTTGGAACAGCTTGGTCTAGTGCAAGGTTTCCCTGCCCATGGCAGGAGGGTTGGAACTAGAGGAGTGTTCTGATTCCTTCCAACCCAAACCACTCTGAGATTCTATGATTCTATATCACTTGCCCCTGTTTCCCATGTGCAAGTCAAGGTGGGGCTGGGGATTAGTGTTTGAGGGGCTGATCCAGGTGAGGAGAGATGAGGGCACCACGATGCACTGGGAGGAAGAGGAGGAGCATGGTAGTTGTGAGGGAGTGGGACATGAATTACCAACCTCCTGATTGCCCTAAAAACAAAGAAGAAAGTTGCTAAAATACCTCAGACAGCAGAAAGTTGTGACATTAAATACATTAAAGCACATTAGGTGGTCATGCGAAGAGATCTCTTCCCCTTCCTGGAGTTGTGACCACAAAGTTTTTGCCAGAGAACAGGATCCTGCCAGGAAATGTTTTGGAATTAAGCTAGACAGTGTGTAATCTCCAGCAGGATTTAACAAATTAAGTGCTGAAACACAAGGTGACAGCTTCTCAGAATTAGAAAAATAAACAAAAGGTGACAAATGTTTTTCTGTTTTAATTGGGGATACATTCATTTTGACAGTGCAGATGAACACAGGGTGCCTTGAAAGGGAAAAGGATGTTTATTTTTAATAAAATGCTAAATATAGCAAACTGATGTGGCATTACAGGGCTCTGGTTTCTCAGTTCTGCCATATCAAAGGTGTTTGTTCACCAGTAAAATAAAGATGTTACAAGCAGGTCCCGAGAACTTCTCTGGTTCTTTCAGTCTTTGAATCAGAGGAGTCCAGAGTGTAGCATCATCCCTGCTCTGGGCTTGGTTAGACTGGCAAAAATGTGTATAACAGGATCGAATATGCAAAAGGGAGAGATCAGTCTCAGTTTCAGAGTTGCCAGTATCAACTTTGACATTTCAGAGCTGACCAGCACTATAAATACTTCATTCAGATGAAAACTTTTACTCAAATAAAAAAAAGAAACTCTTGTTTAGTTCTTTATATTTCAAAATACAAAGGCCTGAATGAAGAGTTGTAGATTCTGAAATGCTCCTGTGCTTTTTGCATGGGAGAACTTCTTACCTTATCTGAGTTTCTATCATAGACCAAGGAAAATGGTCATATAAAGCTGCTGTGTTTTGGGGGTTGCTTTTCATTTCAGTGCCATTCAAAGTAGCCCTTAAAACAGTGACACAAGAATCATATTTTAGGGTATGAAGGAAACAATGCAGCATTTTGGAAGACAATGCCAGACATTTTCTTCCAGTGTTATATGGGTATTCCAATTTATTAAGAGGTCAATTTCCTTGAAAAGTTATATTCCATATGGATTTGGATTCCTGTTGTATTCTTCCCACTACCCCTGTCTTCATTTTTCTATACAGAGGAGGACCTTAGCAGATATTTTCTGCAGACCAGAACTTAGAAAGTCTGTCTAGTTAGATTTCCTTTCTGCCACTTGCTACAGGTATCCTAAGAATGAGAGTTGGCAAAGCACTGTTCTTGCAAGGGAAGAATTGGAGTTGAATTCCACTAGACAAAGTGCCCTGTTTGTACAGGATTAGAATTGATGCCAGGAGATGACAAGTGTATATCAACAATGGCAAATAATTTGTTTTCAGTGCTAGTAATGTGCATAAATGTCCTTTCCTTCAGCCAGTGCATCTTCAGGCAAACAGGGGAAATCCCACACCTTCCTTTTCAGGGCAACAGCTTAGTTCAGAGTGACTAGATCATCAGTGCAAAGATACATTCACATTTTCCCCTAACATCAAAATATTCAAATACCACTGTGTTAAGCAACCCTTTTCCAAACCAGGACTGTGTCTTTGTATAAAAATGACCTTTCTGAATCCTGCAAACTTACTAAAACACAATGTAGACCACAGTGTAGTAGAAACTGTAGATGATAGTGAAATCAGTGTTCTTACTACTATTCCCCTTCTGAAAATGGCTTTTTTCCCTCTTCTTTCCAACAGAGGATGAACAAAGAGAGAAATCTGTCTCCCATCACACCGTTCAGCAGTTGATTGTGGAGAAGGAACAAGCTTTGGCAGATCTGAACTCAGTGGAGAAATCCCTGGCAGATCTTTTCAGGAGATACGAAAAAATGAAAGAAGTATTGGAGGGGTTTCGGAAGGTGAGACATGTTAACATCTGCTTTAGAGAGCAAAGCTGAGCAGGACTCCTGTCCCAGTGCTGCTGAACAGAAGGCACATCTTGAATTTCCAGTCAATTCTGATGTACTGGGTCAGGTCCAATGGTCTAAAGTGCATGACATAACATAATCCTCAGGTGAAGGATTGCAGCCTTCAATCACATACAAACAGAAGGACTCTAAAGCTTTTTGCATTGTGTAATACTGCTTCAGGTGGCCTCTGTGGGGAGGGTGTCAGTGTCAGACTCCAGCCCTTAAAATAGCCCTGTGTGACTTCTGCAGATAGGTGCCTGTCCTACATTTTAACCTCTTGGATTAAATGTAATGCAATCTTCTCGTTTAAGAATGAAGAAGTGTTAAAGAAATGTGCACAGGAATATTTGTCACGAGTGAAGAAGGAAGAGCAGAGGTATCAAGCACTCAAAATTCATGCTGAGGAAAAACTGGACAGGTAATTGATTCATAGAGTCATGGAATGGTTTGGGTTGGAAGGGACCTGAAAGACCCAAGTAATCCAAACCCCCTTCCATGGGCAGGGACACCTTCCACTAGACCAGGTTGCTCCAAGCTCTGTTCAACTTGGCCTTGAACACTTCCAAGGATGGAGCATGGATTGTACGCATCTTTTTTCAGGAGTTCAAGCTGCAGGAAGATTCCTGTGGCTGGACCTCACATCCCAAACCTGCTCCTGTTTCTTCCAGCTCCTGACCATGCAGCACACCTTAAATTTCTATTTTTATCAAATGTCTTCATGTGTCTTTAACATATTTTCCATGGAAGATCAAGAAAGAAGCCATTAAGCTAGATTTCTGCAGCTGTGGAGGGCTGTGCTCAGATACATGCACCTGCAGCCAGTGTTCCTGCCCCCAGAGATTTGCTGTTGCCCCTGTGTCAATCAGCAGAACAGAACATGTAAGTGCTGCTCAGCTGTTTTAGTGCAGTAGCCTCAGGTGCTTTCTTCCTGCTGGCAGTGATTACCTAATTGGGATCAGCCCAGCTGTGCTGAGGGTGATGAGGAACAGTTACACAAAAGATCATACCAGGTGTGCACAGATAGTAGTAACTCCTTAAGCTACTGTTAAGGAGCAAACATCAGACTGTGGCTTAAGAGAGGTAGCTCTGGGTGATAATTTTAATTCTTTTTCTATATTTCCATGTAATGACCAATTAAGCATTTTTAGGAATTGCATTAGGATTCATTGTTTCATACTTTCATAGTATGTTAAGGGTTCTGAACGAACCTTAGAGGTCATCTAGTCCCAACCCCCTGCCCTGGGTAGGGACACCTAGTGCAGTCCTCCGAACTGTAGAAGAGGTTTAGAAACTGCCATGAAACACTTCATGTGACCCCAGCACAGATGTCTGAGAGAAGCATGAAGGGAGCAACACAGATATTAAATAAAGACTCTGCTGAGCAAGTGAGGGAGTCATGAAAAATCTCTAGGGACAAGATTCAGAGTGCTAACAAAGACATGTTGAGGTTAGCCTTGCCCTCTTCACCCATCTGTGAAAGTGCAGTCCACCCTTGGGTACCCACTGCCCTTTCCTGTAGAGAACCAGATGTGACAAAACTCTGTGTTTTTCCAGAGCCAATGCTGAGATTGCACAGGTGAGAGGGAAGGCTCAGCAGGAGCAAGCAGCGTACCAGGCGAGTCTTCGCAAGGAGCAGCTGAAGGTGGACGCGCTGGAGAGAACACTGGAACAAAAGGTAAAGAGCCATGCAGCTATTTTAAGGCAGAAGTCAATGACATGACCAAATTTAAGTGGAACTTCCCCAGAGTGGCTTTATCCAGCTCTCCCCAGAGCTCACACCACAGCCAGGGTCTGCCTGAGGATGGTCCTGGTCCTCATGTCCAGCTGGCCCAGCAGCTCTGCAGCCTAAGGGAGAGCAGCACTGCCCAAACCTTAGGACAAGATCCATGCCCCTGGCACTGGAGGCAGATGGGACCCACTGCCAGCTTTGATCTGAGCCCTGGGCAGTGCTTGAGGCTATTTCAGCTCAGTGTCCACCTGTACATGCTGGACTCTTGATTTGCTTTGGTTCTCAGGTTTAAGACCTTGTCTCAGTTTTTCTTTCAGGTTTGGTTTCCCTTTTTAGTTTTAGCTGTAATTCCAGTGCTAATTCCAAAGTGTCTGTAGGAAATGCCTATTTATATCTCGTGTTCTCTAGCTCAGCAGAGGAGCTTGCTTTGGTGTAGTACAGCTCGTCCTTGCTCAGAGCTCTGCAGAACGGGGTGGAAATAAAGAAAAAAATAGAAAAGTGCAGCCTAGAAACAAATTTCCACTATGTGTTGTTATGGAGTGCTGGGAATGACTGCTGCAAAGCTGTCTGCTTAGGTGCTAAATTGAATTTCTTGGAGTCAGAGGAGCTGTATGTGGAAACAAGGAAGCATTTGTATGAGTGTGCATAGCTGTACTATGAATACGAACACGTAGGTGTGCTATATATGCATCTCTGTATGTATAGATATCCTGTTCTCAGGATTGGAGAACGCTCCATTTTCCAACACCTCTCCCTGTGGTTAGATAACATTAAAAAAAAAGAAATCCTCATCTTAATGCAACAGCATTTTTCATAATACTTAATATTTTTGTTTTCCAGAATAAAGAGATAGAAGAATTAACAAAGATTTGTGACGAACTGATTGCCAAAATGGGGAAAAGCTAACTTTTAACCAAATTCCTGGACTTCAATATTGAGTGCAATATGACCATTGGCACACTGATGTCCATACATTTATGTGGACAGGTTATATTTTCACTTTTTCGTATGCACTACTGTATTTTCTTTCTAAATAAAGTTGATTTAATTGTATGCAGTACTAAGATGACTATCAGAATTTCTTGCTATTGTTTGCATTTTCATAGTATAATTCATAGCAAGTTGATCTCAAAGTTCCTGTATCAGGGAGATTGTCAAGTTCTCTAAGAAATTACAAATTGCTGATCCTAGCCTTCCCTTTGTACATGAGTTCCCATGTTGGATGTCTTTTGGATTTAATATAAACATGTATTACTTGCATGGGGACTCTTGCCTTAAGGAATGTAAACTTTATCTGCATTTGCTGATTTGTAAAATAAAGTGAAAAATGAAAAAAAAACAAAACAAGAAAAATGCATGTCACTTAAATGAAATTCTCTATTGTAAATAAATTTTTTTTCGTTGAAAGTTGAAGATAAGCTCTGTTTTATGTCTTCACTCACTTCATGTGCAGCACCAGATGCAGAAGCTCTTAAGAATTAATTCCTTCACTGAAAGCACTTCATGGGTCACTGCTTGGAACGCTCTGAAGGTCACAACAATAGACTACTTATGTACACATATCTAGGTCTAGATCTTGCTGTCTCTAAATATGTATGTATATATATGTTGGATTTGAACCACTCAAGTCGCAAGCATAGGCTTAATCCTCCAAAATATTTAATGCTCTGACCCTGATCCAGCAAATCCCATGGGCAAATGTAATGAGGCTGTTTGAGGAGTCGGCGGCTGTGGCGTATGGTGATGGGATGGTTTTTAAGCACCAGTCTAGCACTGAAAGATGAATACATTTTCTTCTTCCTGCTGCTGGAAGAGTTTGCCTGCAGGGTTTGTGGAGATGAGGTCTGTGTGATTAGAAGTGCAACCAGAATAAGCTAGATAAGTAGCATTCTCGCACACCTCTTTATCCTGTAAGTTATCCTCTGCAGAGGATTAGGTATGTAAGAGAAGCATTAAGGCTTTAATAGCAAACAAACTGCTTTCTTTGGCTAATGGTGCATCTCTTGGATCTCCATGATGTGGACAGTCTACAGCTTGGTTCTTGTCAGCTCCCTTTTTGTCCTCAAAAGTAAGTCAACTGCCTTTTCTTTCCTATTTTCCTTCATTTTCATTTCTTACCTGAGTCGTGGCTGAGCCTCTTTGCTGTTTTGGGTTTCTCTCTTGGGTTGGGTTGGCTTCAGATTGTTTTGTGTATGTGGTTCGCAGCACAGAATTCCTCCTCTGTACAGATAGGTTTGTGTGCTACCAAATTCAAGTGCACACGTCCCCACAGACAAGCAAAGGTGCCTTCTGCTCTGCACGTTTCAAGTGTGGCATTTTAAATACCTTTCACATTCATGCTTGACTCTGGAAATGCCTTGTAGTTTGAGCCAAGGAGAAGAAAAAGGATTGAGTTATGGTTGTGATGTTTAAGCAACAGCAAGACTGGAGATAGACTGTTGTGCTTTCCAGCTGAATTGATACTTTAGGAGAAAATGAAATCTGGATCATAGTAAGATTTGATGTGTTTACAATGTGATTTTTTCATGCTGCTGTGGACCAAAGATCTTGATGGATGGGGAATAAAACATGATACTCCAACTCATTTCAGTGGGCTCAGCTCTGAAAATGTTCCAAGAAGGTGTGAATTCAGCTACAGAACATCAAATGTTCTTGGATTATTTTAAGTGCAAATCATAGCAACTAAATTTTTTTCTCTTTAAAATCAGTATTTTATCTTTCATCAAATTTTTATCTTTACAATCAGTATCCGGACTACTTCTAAAAAAGAAACACCGATAAAATTTACAGAACCTTTGGATTTCCTAAAACCTTTTTGCCATTTTTTTGCAAAATGACAAAGATTGCACAGCTGATATTTTGAAACACCTCTGCTATACATGGTCTTGTCTTCCTTCACACCAGGTGAAGCTCTGCAGTGTTACACCTGTGTAGGTTCTAGTGATGACGACTGTAACAGACAAGGAACTCAGCAGTGTCCAGGGCATGCAGATGCTTGTGCAATCATTAGAGGACAAGCAAGTAAGTACTCACAAATGGTTCAGACTTGTTAAGTTTTCCATAATAGCAATAAATACTCAGTGTTGGAAAGAAAAGAGTGTGCAGGAAGCTAAGGAGAAAACCAAAAGGAAATGTTTCCTCTCAAAATAAACCCTGTTAATAAATCCCAATCCTAATTTCATTGTGTCAGCAATCTGACACAGAATCCCACTGAGAATGATTTGTCAGTGTGCCGTGGTGAGCTGTACCCACTCTATGTGAAGGCTGGAAAAAAAGCATTTTAAGTGATGTCCACGTCTTACTTTAGTGAGTTACCTGGAAATTAGGAAGGAAAAGAAGCCAATGAGGCACGGCAGTTGGGCACATCCAGAGATATCTAAGATGAGTTATAGTCATTTGAGCTTGTTGGTGTGCTGTTACCTTATGCAGTTGTATTCATCTACTTGTAAGGAGCAGCCAAACCTGCTGTTGTTGCTCAGTGTTGGGTGGTCAGGCTCGTGCTGAGGGGATGTGGGTGGGAGTGGGTGACCATGAAGGTGTAGGTCCATTTGGGTTCAATGTGTCTCTGTTCCAGGTGGCATTATGAAATCCTGTTCGTTCAGATCCTTCTGTGAGCGGGCGAGGAGAGATGGATCCAGAGCACCCGGAGTGAGCGTCCAGTGCTGCTACTCCAACCACTGCAATGCCAAGAGCTTGGCTTCAAGAATCTCCATCTCCAGCAGCTACTTCCCTCTCCTCATCTTCACACTGCTGTGGCACCAGTTGTTCAAGCTGACATGAGGGGGAGGAAAAAAAGTGTACAAGCAACAAGTCTGCCTTCTTAGCAAGGGATAATAATACTTCCTAATCATGTTGTTCCATGTACCATGTATATCGGTAGGCAAAAAGCTGTAGGCAGACATGACAGATGTTTAGATAAAATAGCTTCATCTGCTGAAGATGTCTTGACCTATATGTAAGAAACGCTGCCCTGTTCTTGTTTATCCTAAGGGGTCAATTGGGTGAATACATAACATTTCCCTGCAATTTAGATAAGGTGAAATCTTTGCTGCAAGTAGCCTTGTAGTGAAGGACCAGTATCTTCCAAATGCTGTTTACTGTTGGCAGATGTTCCAAAGCAAGCTAAAATTTTCAAGCACAAAGTGACTGCAAATTCTAGCAAGCAAATTAGTCTTTCATAGAACTTTGGTGTGCTGGACAAACCAGAAAACTTGAAAAAAAAAGATGCTTTAGTAGTAATACAAAATGGGAAAAGAAGGTCATTAAGAGAAGAATGCATGGAGGTGTGTTATATTATATGTTATTTCCCTGGAAGTGTTCAAGGCCAGTCTGGATGATGTTTGGAGCAATCTGGTCTAGTGGAAGGTGCCCCTGTCCATGGCAGGGTGTTGGAATTAGATGGTCCTTAAGGTTCCTTCCAACTCAAACCAGTCTGTGATTCTATGGTTTTGTGTATTTCCTGGAAAAGAAAACCACCCTCCAGTCTTTTAGATGGTCGGTTCCTTCCAACTCAAACCAGTCTGTGATTCTATGGTTTTGTGTATTTCCTGGAAAAGAAAACCACCCTCCAGTCTTCTCTTTTCTGATCCTTTGAGAATCTCACCACAGCATTGGAAGAAGAAGAAAAAAGAAGAGCTTGGAAGTTTTTCTGACTGGTAAGATCCCTCCAAAGTTCAACAATCTATCTCCTCTGCTGGTTTTGAGAGCAAGTGCTCAATCCCTGTCTTGTAGGCGTTTTGTGTATTTCCTGGAAAAGAAAACCACCCTCCAGTCTTCTCTTTTCTGATCCTTTGAGAATCTCACCACAGCATTGGAAGAAGAAGAAAAAAGAAGAGCTTGGAAGTTTTTCTGACTGGTAAGATCCCTCCAAAGTTCAACAATCTATCTCCTCTGCTGGTTTTGAGAGCAAGTGCTCAATCCCTGTCTTGTAGGCAAATTATAACTTGACTAATAACATTGTTTATCCAAATTGTTCTTGCGGTTTCAACTATGTCCCAAATTTCATTCTTTGAGAGTAAGAGTGTATATCTCCCCCTGCAATGGCATGATTGAGTTGATCTGAAGTAGTTTATATATCCTTTTCATTTTGCCAAGTGAATGAAAGCACTTGGAGATCTTTAGAGGCATAAGGAACTAAATCATTGCTTTTAATAACCCTGTTCATTGCAGTGTTACCCAGTAAGTGATCCAGAATGGGCCACATAGTAGAAGACATTGTGCATCACTAGCTGGTAGGCAGATGTGGTCGTTTGATGTGGTTATGCTGAAACTAGGAAAGATGGGAAGTGACAGAACATGGTGTGATAGCACTAAGCAGGGTCTCGGGTCTGTGATACTGGAGAGCAGGGTGGTACCTCCTCTGATTCAACACTCAGAGCAACAGGCAAGAGTTGAGTGATATTTGTATTTTTGGCTATCCAGCTGTGATGTTCTGGTCTAACCTCTGTCACACAACATGCATAGGAATGGTTTAAAGTCCAGCTGGTGTCATTGAAGTAGAGGTGATCTTTGCAGTTCTAGTTTTAGTTGCCTATTTGGAGAAAGGTTTGATCATCACGTTTATGGAACTCACAAAACACGTGGCAAAGTAGTTTTTCCACTAGCTTTGTGTTGTGATATTTTTTCAGTGTAATTCTTTGAAAAATCAGTTCCAGGCAGTGTCATAGAATTCTGCACGCTCACCAGAATTGCATTAAGGTTGCAAACTCTAGAGAGCTTCTTCCAGTGAAATCAGTGAAACCTCCACCTAGAGTGTAGCCCTTGCCTGCCCTGTAGCTGTTCCCTGTCACATGGACCAAACTGTCTCCTTGTTTTATTGTGCTCTGTTCTCTTTGTGGATCCTTTCATCATCTGTTGTAGATTGTGGCATCAGACTGGCACAGTTCTCCTGAGGTTTTGTTCAAATGGGCTCTCAGACAAGGCAGTTCTGGTCTCTGCTTAGTTGTTAGGCACAAGTCTGATCAAGCTGTTGAATATGAAGATTGCAACAACACAGCAGATCTTGGCAGAGAATGTTAATTTGGACTTCAATGTCTCATCTGTATAAAAATCACTTAAATTGGTGTAAGCATTTTTCATTTCATTCTCAGCTTGAAGCAGTTCCTTCAATCTGCTCTGCTACAGGAAATAGTTATTGGTCGTATCTTTATTTTCTGACTGTTCTGTAACCATAAATCTGTATCGAATGTAATCTCTGTACACGCTCAGCGCATTTCCTTAATGAGAAAATAAATCACATGCAATGGCTGACATTGTCTCTTGAACAAACAGAACTGCAGCTTTTCATTGGGATTTCCAGTCGCATCTGGCGCTTTGTTTTCCTGCAGGAATTCTGGTGGGTTTTGTTCTTTAACGTGGGATGTATTTCTTAAATCTGTTAGCTAAAATACTGAATGTTGATAGCGTTCTTGCTGCTGTATTTCCATGATAAAATAAGAAGGTAAATCTCTATCCTCTTGACAAACACCATCTGTCATTCCTGGACTGGGATCCTCAGGCAGCTCACAGCCTCCCACTGCTCCGTCCTGCCACGCACCACGTCACGGGCTCTGCTTTGCTTTTTACAGCTCTGACATTTTCCCTGCCTAATTATGAACCTGAGGTGTAGATACCTAGAAATGATAAACCACTTCTGTGGGCTGATGAGATCAGGAGGGTTTCACAGCGGTTCTTGGCATAACCATC